CCAGAACAACTCTGAGGACAGAGGCTATCTTGTGGCTGGGACGATACGTGCTATATTTATGTGTGGAGATGATGGAATAGAGTTAAAAGGCTTTGCAGGTTATCAGTCAAACTAAAAAAATCTTGTTTTAAAACCTCATAGGCATCATCTTTTTTTTTTTTTTCCCCCTATCCTGACCTTCCATCCATCCATTCATGTGCTTACACGTCTTGAAAGTCTACTATGGGGCAGACACTGCTGGGCACTGGGAATATCGAAAGGAGCTCCTGTCCCCTCAGAGCTGCTGTGAATTCCAGACTCAGGGACGGGGGCTTTAAGAGAGATGCACCGTGTGTCGTGGGAGCAGGCAGACAGGGCAAGTCGTTTGGTATGGACATGAGGAAAGCTACATTGAGGAGGTGATGTCTGGGTTGGGCTTTGCAGGATTCTGAGGCAGACAGTGAAGCCGAGAAGAGCAACTCACACCAGAGGGACAGCTCAGTGTGAGGTCTGGGGGTGGCAAGAGAGAAACCGTGTCAGGTCATGTCGCTCTCCCACTCAAGCCCCTCAGTGACCCACTAACAACGCAAACTAAAGTCCTCACAATGACCTAGGAAGGCCCTATCTGATCTCCCCAGGGCCTCTCAGACCTCCTGTTCCCTCTGTTCCACCCACACTGGCCTTCCCTGCTGTTTTCAGGGCCCGCCCTCCTCGAGGTCACCCTCCCAGTGAGGTCCTCCCTTGCCACTTTCCATCCCCTTCCCAGTTTTACTCTTCTCCCTGCCGGTTACCACCAGCCAATACAGAATAGAGTTTGCTTATTATCTTTGTTTATTGTCTGTCTCTTACAAGAAGAGTAAACGCTTATGAGGGCTTATGAGGGCGCAAGTTTTTGTCTGCTGGTTCAGCGCATATGGTAGGTGCTCAATAAATATTTGTGGAATGACTCATGACGTCCCCTCCCCCCATCCCCCTCAGGGAAATAGTTATTAAGGGCCATGCAAACTTAAGGCTTCTGGAATTTATCTGGAAGGAGAAGGGAAGCCACAGACGTTTTTAACCAGGAGAGCAAGAGAGCTGGGTCTCTGTTTCTGGGATAACATCCCTGGTGGTGACAGGGAAAGAATGGGTAAGGGGGCAGGAGAAACTGAGGCAGGAAGTCCCAAGAAGAGGTCACTGCAGAGTGGATGGCCTGACACAGGGCAGTGGAGGTAAAGAGGAAAATAAGGATGTGAGGGAGGGTTTGAAGGTGCCTAACTCTGATTGTATGCATGAACCCCAGAAAACTCCTTTCATGGAAGTATTGTCATTTCTCATGTTCAGCAGCCCATCAGTGCAAAATCCAGTCTAATCTCAACGCAAAGGATGGTTCTGCACCTCAGCTCACGGAAAAGCAAGGCCTGGTATGTGTTCGAGTGCGGCTGCTCCTGGGGAATCCGTAGAGCAGAGCTGTCCTCTGGAACTGTGTGCATCTCTGTGACACGTCTTGGAAGCAACCTTTGGGCGGGTGGAGTGCGTGCAACTCCTTTCCGCTACCTGTCTGTTAATCTCAGTGTCACATTTCAGTACTTTTTTCTTTGGCTCTAGGGCTGTCATTCCATTTGAGATTGTCCTTCTTCCCTTCCTTTTAATCCATTCCTTTTACAGAACTCGCTAACTAACCAGCCGGTCCATGTTTCATTGTCTCCTCTCATGTGGTCACACATCACATGCTCCACTCTAGGCTCCTTCTCTGATTCTTACTTCTGGAACTCCTGTCATGCTGGGCAGAAATGCCGGGAAAGCTTTACGAACCCGTGGGTAAGTCACCTCCCTTCCCTTGACCTCCATCCTCATCTACCAGCCAAAGGCCCTTTCCTCTGTGTGAAGGTAACAGAAGGTCATGCTCAGGTATGAAAGAATTCAGAAAAATACCACCACCTACTGTTCTTGAAAAATGAATTACTTAAAAATAGACTCTAGCCAACTGAGAAATTTTTGCATGGAGATGTCAGGATGGAAGGCATGATGGGCGGGGACTGGGAGTCCGTCCCAGGGTACCCCCAACAGGCACAGGGATTCGGCGTGGTAGAGAAGCAATCCCTGGGCACACACTGACTGGGCCACACCAGCAGTGAGAATGTGGAGGGGAAGATCCTTCCTTTCACAGTGACGTCTGGATGAAGCTTAATGACACTGTGCCTTAGGAATTGTTACCCTTCATTAAGGTAATAGTCCTGTAATTGGAATTCTTCTGTAAAAGCCTCTCCCTCAAGAAGAGTTTCCTCTAAGATCCAGAAGTCCAATTAAATAGGATTATAACTATGTTAAAAAACAAAAACAAGAAGCCCCCATGGCTAGGAACAGGCCTGGGAACAATTTTCTGTGGCTGCTGGCTGTTTGTGCCTAAGACGCAGCTCATGTCGCTCGCCCACTGACACAGCCCACCCCCAACCCCCTGCCCTCTTCTGCGGACCCTCCTGGCCCCAGAGCCTCCCTGTGGCAGCGTATGAGGCCCCCATGACGACGACGACATGTTCTGGCCAGCCTTTCCTGCTGCACATCCAGGCTTCACGCCCCCACCCTCAAATTCCTTCTCCTACAGCTCCTTGAATGAGCTCTGCCCTCCTAGGCCTTGGTGCCTTCCCATATGCCAATCTGTATCCAGGACCTTCTTCCCTCTTCCTTAACTTGCGGAAGAAACTCTGCTTGCCCTTTCCATGAAGCCTCCCAGACACAACCGGCCCTGCTACCTCAGAGAAGCAGGGCGGCTCTCCCAGCAGCTGCTCTGAGTATGTAACTCTGCACAATCCAGTGGACTCAGTTCTCATTGCAAACTCCTTTGCCCCTCACAGGACTCTGAGGGAAAGGCCCCTCTGCAGACACCCAAATCACATGTCTCTGACCCCATTATCAGAATTAAGATTCGAGGCCCACAGGAGGTAAATTCAAGTAATTCATCCCATGAGGATGATTCCCTGATAATAAATAAGTATCAGAAAACACTGATTTCTTCCTGGACGTGGTGCATATTTTATCTATGTGACTGTAAATCCCACGAGTGCAGGAACTAAATTTATTTGCTCATTGTTCTATATCCTCAGCAACCAAAACAGCGCCTAGCTCCAGGAAGCTTTTAATCTGTTTCCTCAGAGTGTGAATGTCTTTTTTTTTTAATTTTTTTTAATTTTTTTATAAACATATAATATATTTTTATCCCCAGGGGTACAGGTCTGTGAATCGCCAGGTTTACACACTTCACAGCACTCACCATAGCACATACCCTCCCCAATGTCCATAATCCCACCCCCCCCCACCCCGTGAATGTCTTATTTGTACTTACTTTCCAGGTAGAGCAAAATGCCCGGCACAGTTCACGCTCACGGACACTGAGCTAAGTGAATCTTAGTCCGAGTTACAAAATGAGGCCATTTTCCTTATGCTAAATCCAAACTTGGGCAAAGCCTCTCCCTCAGAAGCACACACCTGCCTGCCTTCTCTGGGGTCCCAGCCCCTGCCCCTTTGTCTTGGTTTCTGTGTGCAACCCCAACGAACAAAAAGTGGCTTTGTGTCACTGAAAGGAAAGCCTTTGCAGAAACGCAAAACAACATTAACCTTTTCCCCTCCGTGGCATTCCACACACCAGCTGACTGTAAACCTGGAGGGTCCAGGGAGAAATTTGTTCAAAATTCAGGCCCAAAAAAAAAAGTGTCTTCATGTCTTTAAAACCCCCAGACCTGCATTTATTTCCCCCCGAAGAAGCCACTCAAAAATGCCCATGCTGCTCTCCAGGCCCCTCGGGGGCAGCCCTTCCTGCCATGCTGGCTGGCTGCTCGCGGCGCGTCTGCCCACCCATGCATGCGGGGACCAGCCACCACCAGCCCATCAATAAAACTGGCTTCCACCCGCATCGCCAAGCGTCCTGTGCTGGCGCTTCAGGGACAGGGAATTTTGTTCATTTTGTCTCAGTGCCAAGCTGGCTCTCCTAGGAGTCTCAAGGCCATGCCAACCTGAAAAAAGATCCTCTCTCCCTCTCTGCATTCTCCAAAGATGACCAGAAATAATCATAAAAAATGAACAAAGGGATTACACATTAATCTGCCCTCCCTGTCTCCTCTGACTGCAAAGATAGAATTACAAACCCAGGATTTGCAAGAGACATCAGTTCCTCATTAATCTCCACTATCTTTTTTTTTTTTTTTTTAAGCTCCTTTCTTAGGCAGGGAATGAGGAGGAGCTATGTTCTTTCTTCACTCAACAGTAACTGAAAAATATATCCTTAACATTTCAGAAAGCAGATCGCCCACGTGCTATAATATAACCACTGAAGCGTGGAGGTGAAATGGCACGAGTGTCCTTTGCATCAGCATCTGTTGAAATTAATGAATTTAAGGGGGATCATCTTAAGTCTGTGGTTTCTTTGAGAAGCATGAATCTGACAGTCCAGAAAATTTCCAGAGCCTAAGACTCTCCGATTTCTTTACTGTACACTTGCTTTCGTAGGGCATATTTCGACTGCTCGGATGGGCAGTGCGTGGCCTTGAAACCGCGTTTCGCAAGTGCCTCTGCTCTGTCTGGCCATCTGGGGCTGGGGCCTGCAGAGAGAGCAGGTCCTGGCATTTTCCTGCCAGGTTTACTCCATGGGTCAGTGCTACAGTGTAATAAAAAAGCAGTGGGGGCTCTTCTCCTTCTCTTCCCTGCAAGGGTCTGCAAATTCTCTTTGCGTAAAGCCGTGCCAGAACCCTTGTTCCTCCTGGAGCCACAGCTGCGCGCCCCTACCCAGAGAGCACAGGCCCCGCGAACTGGGGTGGGCTGCAGCGCTCGTGCTAGCTGCTGTTTGCACGCATCCCGGCACACCAGGTGCGGCAGCTGCTTGTCTCCATGATGCCCACGGGGGCTCCCAGTTCTGCTTTTCCCTGGCTAAATCCCTGTCCAAGTTCCCCAGACTCACGTTGGGCAGAAAGTTGAGGGTGGAGCTTGGAAGGCAAAGTGGGAAGAGAGCCTCCAATCCGAGGCCCGCCTCGGCTAGGTCCCGCTCTTACCTGGGTACGGCACTCTTCCTTTGGTGACCAGCTCTGTGAGTAAGATTCCAAAAGACCACACGTCAGACTTGATTGTGAACCTCCCATACAGGGCTGCTTCGGGGGCTGTCCACTTAATGGGGAACTTTGCACCTGCAGAAAGAACACGCGGTGGGTGACTCGGCAGGCAGACAGCATGGTCGAGGGGATGGGGACGGGGGAGGAGCGCTAGAAAGTTCAAAAAGGAGGTGGGGAAGGCTGCAAAGAAGAATGGACTTCAGTCGAACAGCTGTGGGGTCTAGTCTTGGCTCTGGTGCCTTAAGCGAGCTCGTCAAATTTTATTTTTCCCATCAAAAGGTTGATGTTCAAAGCCCCTTCAAGTTCTGGCTTCTAGAACTTGAATCTAGGACCACACTGAATGTCACAGGACTGGTCTGGTTGTGGGGCTGGCTTGTGATTTAGGAAACTAGTTTTACATGGTTTTTCTTTTGCTTTGAAATGATGTCATATTCTAATTAATACATAGAGTATTGAATCATAATGCTACTCTCACGAATTTTTTGGTAGAGAAGACCACAGTGTGCTTTTATGAGGTACACAGAAACCATATCCAACTACCATGCTTCTCCCAAAGTGAAGACAATTTGCTGTAGCCCATGTGTTTTGTAGAAATGGGCTCTATTTCCCAAGGCCTTCAAAACCCATGGCAGAGAAATGATTTCGCCTCTGGCTACTTCCCTCTACCTTTTCCCTCATCACTGATAGTGGCCATCTTTACTCCTGGGACAGCTTTTTCTTCTGTATTCTATGATCCCTTGCTTACCTGCCTACCTTTCTGCTACCGGTCAGAGAGCGTACTGTTTTAAAGAGCAGTCTTGCTTCAGTGACTATCTTATGAGTCTGATTTCTCAAGACCAAGCAACAAATTCATGGCCAAGTCAGTAGAATCTTTTCTTTGAAACTTCTCAGATCATTAAAAGAATCCTCTCTCTAATCCAAAAGGGAGGGTGGCGTCCACCCTGCTCTTTATAAGGCTAGATGTGTGTACAGGGAATTAAAATTGATTTCAGCAGCCTGTGTGCTCACATATGAAGCTCAGCGATTATAAAGCAGTTCCAGAAATTTCACTGAACAAACTAAAAGAAAAACATAAGGAATTTTTATTACTGATGTAAACACAATTATATATTTAAAGCATGTTAATTTTCTTAGAACCTCCTAAAAAAAAATCATACAAAGGATGATAGAATCAGAAATTTTTGTAGTATCTTCTACGAAAAGTCATAATATGCAAAAGTGGCAAATAATTAAAATCTTTAAATTAGCACGGTTTTAATAATGAGAGGTATGATAAATTATAGCAATTAGATTTTTGTTTTAAACACAGTACATGATAATGTCTTTAGCAAATCTACCCTGGCATTTTCTGGCAATACAATTTTCCTCTCCATCTCTTTTATGCCAGTGTGAAATGAAATTTAAAAAATCCTACTATTTCATTATGTGGCATCTCACATTTACACTGGAGCAGAGAAGTTATTCTACAGTTTTCTTTTCCTTGTATGCACGGAGTTATTTTTAATTAGCTGTGTTTCTCAAGCATAATTATTTCTATCTTTTCTTAAGTGCTGCATGATTCCACACAAGGCCTGGTATTCTCCGAACAGTCGTTTTGTTTTTAAAGTTTCTTTCAAAGCGTTCTGCTGTGTGAGAACCTACCCTCGAGCATTCTGTTCACGCAGCTTTGGACTCTGAGCTGCTGGGATTAATGTGATAGATTTTCTTCAGTGTCGAGAACAGACTTTGCCCTGGACCAGACCTCAGCTGGAGTTCTCTTATTTTGGAGAATTAAAGGTATATTAAATTCATTCCTATTTAAACTATCTCTTGAGCCAAATGGCTTGGAAATCTATGTCCATCTCGAAAGCAAAAAGAACTTTCTTTTCTCCCCTGTGCAGACACAAATCCTGTAAATAAAATGATGAGCAAAAGGAGCCTTTCTTCCCACTTTGGAATCATTCAACGTTCATGCAGGGGTGTGTGTGTGTGTGTGTGTGTGTGAGTGTGTGCGTTTCTGAAAGGAAACTGTTCAAAATTTGGATAAAGTCATTTTGGATTTTCTGAGAGAAGACTTCATAATCTGAGGTGAACAAAATCCCAAACAAATGTCAATATCTCGGCCCGTTGTGCTAGTCACGTTTATCGTTTTCTCATGACATCATCTGCAACAAGAATTCTAATATGTAAACCTTGAACAAATACATTCAAACGAAGGCTGTAAAAGATCTATGATAGGAAACCATTTGCGGATATGTGCTTTGAGACTTATTAGCAGGAGCTTTCATAAATAAATTTATTTTGTGTTAGTTTTCTTTCTAAAATAAGCAATATATTGCTTTTCGGTAGAAAAAGAAAGAATGCCTTTGTCCAATTTCTCCTACTTCTTTTCAGCCTTGAAACAGCAGCCACTGTTGACAAAAGAAGCTTCTCTAAAGATAACTCATATTTTCCTTCTCATGGCAGAAAAAAGGTTAATAAATTAAAGCAGCGATAATCTGTTAATCATTAACTACGGTTTCAACAAAAGAACTGATGGATGTCCTCTCACTCATCTCATTACCTCTACTTCCCCTTGCCTTGGTTTCCTGCCTCCTGGGGGTACAGATGCAGCTTCAAATGGTTTGTGGCGGGGGTGGAGGGTGGGGTGTGGGGGGGCAGTGGGTTCTCTGTCTACGGCCGGGCAGGTTGCACACTGCAAACCCCAGTCTATGAGAACAGCATCCCTGGGGCTGTCCGGAATACCACCTACACATCCGCACAGGAGTCCCTGCGGGGGACTGTGTGGGTTCTTAGCCTCCAGTGAAGTCAAGATAGCTCAGAAACCTGGAAGGAAGGATCTCCTGGGTGTAAACACTGCCTTTCCTTTGAAATTAAAGTTCTGCCCCCTCATGTTTTTTTCAAGTTATCATGACAGGCAGTGAAAGTCAGGATCAAAGTTGTCTCCTAGGCAGTATGGATTTGTAGAGAAAAGGAGACAGGGTCCAGAGGCCTCTCTTACAATGAACTTGGCCCTACTGTGTAACCAGCCGATTTGCAATTCTTGAAATTCTCTGGTTTGGGAGCAGGATTCAGAGGCCAACGCAATTTCCCCTCCTTTGCATCTTATCAGGGGAAACGTAGCCAAACACAGATTATCTGCAGGTAGCATAATCTGTGTCTCTGGTGTCATGGGCTTTGGAGGACACAGGAACTCAGTGAACTTGTTCGGTGTTTGGATAACCCAAAAATAAAGAGATTTTCATCACTCTAGTGTTGATTTCTGACTAAGTTACTTTGATAGTTCAGGGTTCTTTGACGCCAACAGACAGAGGCCGTACATGATACATGTGCACTTAACGCACAGACTTGAAAGCTCTTTCCACTGTTTTCCAGGCAGCGTCTGTAGATTTTGGACTTGCCGGGGGAAAGGCCTTGCAGAAAGCCTGACTCGGTGCTGTCACGGAGACCCAGTCCCTGAATCACCATCTGGACTTGCATCATTTACCTTCCTGTAATCCTAGTGAGGGCCAGCGAGACCAAGGCCGAGCCATTTTCTGTAGAGAGTAAACAGGCCGGTGTTTTAGATAATAATCCGTCACCGACATCTCCATTGTGTTTCTCTAGGTTCCATTGAGAAGTGAACTAGTGAACTCAGTTGTCATGAGCTCTGTGTGACATGGGGGAGGGTACTCCCTCTCTTGGCTCCAACCGCTCTCCTGACTCCCGTGTCACCTGTGTTTGGTCACCCGATGGGCCCTCCCTCCTGAATTTCTGATCTGTATAATCGAGTCTCTGCTCTCCGTCTCTGCTGGGAGGCCTCAACGGGCCTCACAGACACAACATCCGAAATTTACCTTCCTCAGAATTCTGCTTGTTTCTCACCGTTTGTTGCCTTGTAAACTGCCCAGCTGACGCGACCAGAATGCCGAGAATCCTTATCTGGGTGCTGGGTCTAACCGCCCATCCCCATCCCTCACGAGGCAGTGCATGGCCTGCCCAGGGAAGGAGCTCAGTCCACCTTCCCCGTGTTACCTTTGGCCCCCGCTGCTTTATCACCCTCCAGGCTGAGTCCACTTCACCGTGAATGTGTCTGGGCACTACCCTCACTCCAGTCCTTACTCGCCCGTCCCCTGCCTGCACTCCTGCAAGGGCCTTCCGGCTGGGCGCACGCGCACAGTCTGGTCCCTCCTCCCTACTGCTCCAGCCGTTTCCTGTTACCGCCCCCACCCCATCCCATTGCCCTTCTGGATTGTTCCCACCTGCTGCAGGGCCATAGGGCAGGCTGTTCCCTTTGCTGAAGTCCCTACCCCACGGCTAACTCCTGCTCCTTTGCTCTTAGCCTAAATGTTATTTGCACGGGCAGCCTTCGCTTGATCACTAGGACCGGGGCTCGTCCCTAGCGCTGTGCCCCCAGAGCCTCTGGTTCTTTGGGGCCACTACTATTCAAGGGCAGATGAATACATCAGTTGTTTGAAGCATGCCTCTCTCAAGAGACAGAGACTGTCCTCGAGGGCAGGAGCATGTCTTTCTGGACGGCCACCTTATCTCCAGTACGGAGACCAGTGCCTGGTGCACAGAAGAAACCGGAGAAAGCTGTGTTGAATGACAGAGGAACTGGACAGCTGCTTCGCCCTTCCAGGGAGAACCACCACAGCCCCTCAGGAGGCTTGTTATTAGTTCCCTGCTCTCCAGCGGGTCCTCTCCTTGTCCTCAGTGACCATTGTCACTGTCTGCTACCATCTGGATGCACTCATAAGGCTCTCAGCAGCGCCGACTACTGTAGAAGAACATCTGTCACACACGCCACTTAGAAACACCGGGAAAACCCTGTGTTTTTCCTGCCAAATGAAGTGTGGAGTGAATCCAAGGTGGAAGGAGCCCCAGACTTTGCTCGGTGAGGAGTGGGGGGCCTAGATCCCTAGAGCAGTAGCTGGGGAGGGGCTTATCTCAGCAGAAAACCTAGGTAGCCAGAGGCCTGGGGAGTGTTCACAGCAAAACAAAGTGGAAAATCCTTTTCTGAATAGAAGTAGATGAAACAGGTAACTGGAGGCCAAGCACTCATGCCTCCCCCCACCCCACCCCCAGGCCCCATCTTTCTCCGGTAGAATAAGGTT